GTTCTTGCTCACTCGCTCTCTCTCTTTCTCAAAAATAAACATTAAAAAATTAAAAACTAAATAAATAAAATAAAAAATAAAAATAAATTATGTGTATCATGTTCTGCTTAAGCAAGTATTCCTACACTGTTCTTCTGGCAAATAAACTACATCATTAAGGCATGTTTCAAAAACATTCCCATTGGGATTACATTAAATTTATAGATTTGGGGTAAAGTGACATGTTTATATTAATGTTCCCATCTACACTATAATGAAAATTTAGCCCTATCCTCTCCATTACCATTACTGATAGTATTTATTCCATTTCCCTACCTAACTGTACCGCCTGACACTTCAAGAATAATGTTAAATACTGATGAACCCAACCAGCTTTGACCTCCTTCTAACTTCAGTGGGCATTTCAAGTATGACACAGTAAGCTTGATGCTGGCTATTAGATTTAAATATGGTTATTATATATGTTTATTATGTTATTACTTATTTAAATCTTATTTTGAAATATTCAATTCTTATTTTTTAGCTCATTTTGTTTCATTTTCAATCAAAATGTCTGTAACATTTTATCTAATATATTTTAGACAGCCATCAAATACCACTAGGTTCTCTTTTCCTTGTATCTAATACAAACTGTAACTGTGTATGATAAATTAAGTCATTCTGGCATTGCTGGAATAATCTCCTTTTGGTCAGAGTATTATCCTTTTATCATAATGCTGATTCTATCTGCTAATATTTTATTTATAATATGTATAACTAAACTCATAAGTAAAATTAGTTTTGACTTTAACTTGTTTTCCAACCTTCATCAGATTTTAGTACCCATGGTTCCACTAAGGGGAAAAAAAAACTCGAAATACTTACCTTCTTTCTGTAAGTTCTAAGTTTAAATTTTTTGGCCTACATTTCAACTTATTCAACTAACTTTTTTTTAGTACCCGCTGTATTTGTTAGACATTTGCGAAATAAAAGACTTTTTAAAAACAGGTACCTTTGAGGGCACCTGGCTGGCTCAGTCAGAGGAGCATACGACTCTTGATCTCCACGTTGTGGGTTTGAACCCTATATTGAGTGTAAAGACTACTTAAAAATAAAATCTTTAGGGGTGCCAGGGTGGCTCCGTTAATCATCCGACTTCAACTCAGGTCATGATCTCATGGTTCACGAGTTTGAGCCCCTAGTCGGGCTCTGTGCTAACAGCCTGGAGCCTGCTTTGGATTCTGTCTTCCCCTCTCTCTCTGCCCCTCCCCCACTCATGCTGTCTGTCTGTCTGTCTATCTCTCTCTCTCTCTCTCTCTCCCCCTCTATCTCTCAAAAATAAATTAAAAAATTTTTAATATATTTAAAAATAAAAAATAAAATATTCTATAAAATGTATCTTTGATGTAAAAACTTAAGTGAACAATGAAGAAACATACATGTAAATATAAATATACTATCATAGAATTGGCTCATCCACAATTATATAAACAGCTACATGAGGAAAACTTCACAAAGGAACTAAAATTTGGTCTAAGTCTTGAAGGTAAATAGAGAAACAGAAAAGAGAACTAGAATTTTAAATATTCGTTTCTGAAGCAATCATTTCCACTTGCTCTTAAGTAATTTTAATTTGTATGACTGTGTTTTCCTGTAAGATGATGCTATGTTACTAACAACAACTAGAACTGTGTGTTGGTATGATTGATAAGGCCTACCTATATTTCTTCCACACTATGTACGCTGAGTGAGACTTGAGTTCGTAGAGTTGTTAGTTGAAAAATCAGTCTCATATTCGTATTTTTTTTACCACTCTTTCAAATTCACCACATCTCTGATTGTTCTCTGCCAGAGTAACAATGTAACTTTACACAACCCTTAACTATTCACCATTAACTCCAAAACTCAAAATGAAATAGGCATAAGAATGAGATCTAGCCATTCACAACATGGGTAGACCTAGAGGGTATTATGCTAAGTGAAATAAGTGTAACAGAGACAAACACTATATGATTTCACTTATATGTGGAATCAAAAACACAAAATAAATTAACAGAAAGCAGAAACAGTCTATCAATATAGAGGACAAACTGATGGTTGCAAGAGGGGAGATGGGTTGAAGGATAGGCAAAATGGGTAAAGAAGAGTGGGAGATACAGTCTTTCAGTTATGGAATAAATAAGTCACAGGGATAAAAGGTATAGCATAGGAAATAGAGTCAATGGTACATTGTGTGGGGACAGATGGTGGCTATACCTGTGGCAGGTATAGCACAATGTACAGAGCTGTCAAATCACTATACTGTTCACTTGAAACTAATGTAACATTGTATGTCAATTATACTTCCATTTAAAATGTTTTTAAATAAATAAATGGGGGACGCCTGGGTGGCTCAGTCGGTTAAACATCCAACTTTGGCTCAGGTCATGATCTCACGGTTTGTGGGTTCGAGCCCCGTGTCGCACTCTGTGCTAACAGCTAGCTCAGAGCCTGGAGCCTGTTTCAGATTCTGTGTCTCCCTCTCTCCCTGATCCTCCCCTGCTCATGCTGTCGCTGTCTGTCTGTCTGTCTCTCTCTCTCTCTCAGAAATTAAAAACACACACACACACACACACACATTAAAAATAAATAAATGGACATAGGTTGAAACATTCAGAAGAACTAAAAACATAACATTCAAAATTCATGATGCTGGTAGAGATTTCAGGTTGCATGCTGTGTGAGATTATTACAATTTCTCTAACAAGTCTGTGGCCAGGCTCTAAGTATTCTCATTAAAATATAAAGTCTTTAAAGTAAATTGAAACAAACTCAGGATGTGCCTGTAGCATACTAGTTGATTGAAAATTCCCTAAAATATTACAGTCTGGTAATTTGAAGAGTCTAAGATGTACATAGCTGCAGATTAATCCTAAGAACACGTTATACACCAATCACTCTGGAAAAAGAGATTATACAGTTTCAAAAATGTACACACCTTTCAAGTAAATTCATTTCTAGGAATTTATCCTAAAGAAAAAAGTTAACGTACAGAGATATACGGTTAAGGATATTCAGCACAGCAGTTTTATACTACTGAAAAATTAAGAGTGGTCTAAATTTTCAATATTCAATCAAACTTTATAAATTCATCTGAAATTACAAAACTCTACATGTATCTGACAAGATGGTCAAATAAATTAAGAAAAGCAGGTGACATTACATTATGCATACCTGCATTAACACAGTAGCCACGAGATGCATATAGATATTTAAATTTGATTAATTAAATTGAATTTTGGGTTAGTCATAGTGGAATAGAATTTAAAAGTCAGTTCCTCAGTCACACTAGCCACATATCAAGAGCTCCACAGGCATATGTGACTAGTGGCTACCACAATAAGCAGAGCAGATACAGAACATTTCCACCATCAAAGAAAATTTTATTAGATAATACATTAGTATTGTACAGTATTCTAAGTATTTTTAAGAAAAAGGGTGGTGAGCTGGGTGGCTCCACAGTTAAGCATTCAACTCTTGATTTGGGCTCAGGTCATAACCTCACAGTTGTGAGATCGAGCCCTGCATCAGGCTCTGTGCTGGCAGCAAGAGGCCTGCTTGGGATTCCCTCTGTCTCTGCCCCTCTGTCACTCGTACTCTCTCTCTCACAATAAATATATAAGCATTTTTTTTTTAACGTAGAAGGAATGTATATATAATAAAAATGACTGGAAACATATACATAACAGTTATCAATAGGTAATGATATCTGGGATTTTAAGTTTTTACTAATCTATTTCCTCATTTTACTACAATAAGCAACAATGAATTTAAAATCATGTTTTTTAAAAACAATGAATTGCCACTTTATCAAAAATAAAGTGTCCTCACTGTAAATAAACATTACATATGATCTACAAAAGGAGAAGTTATAGAACTACAAATATATACAACTTCTAAAGTTGCTATTTTGCTGCTTTGGGAATGTTCCATGTTTTTAATCCCTTTCCTCAATACTTCATTCAGAGTAACACTATCACAATTCTGAGATTTTTTTTTTCCTATCCAAATGGGAAAGTTATCTGAGCCTTTGGCAACAGATAGAGAATTACAGCTGTCAATTTTTTTTAATTCAATGGAAGAAGAATTTTTCACTTATGCTTTCTTAAAAGGAATCATTACCTAGAAAAGTGAAAGATTATCAATAGTCACAGTGGCCAGCTTAAATCTGAGTTTCCTCTATAAAAAATAACTGACAGTGTGCTCTATATCATATATCATTCTTTCTCACTGTGCCTCCATGGCAGCAAATGATTTTTATTATATATCTTTTATAGCAAGCAAGTTTCCATGGAAACCACAGAGCAAACATCCATTACTACCGCCAAGGACTATGTAACCACAACTAAACTGAGATAAACACTGTTTCTCTTAATAATATTCTAAAATTAAACAACAGGTACTCTGATTCTGGTTTTGCTGTGTGTGTCTCTATAAACAAATCAAGAGATGAATAACAAACTAAGAAAATTCTGTGTCCCTCTAGCAATAAAATGTGTCTATAGAGGGGCACCTGGGTGGCTCAGTTGGTTAAGCAACCAATGTCGGCTCAGGTCTTCATCTCACAGTTTGTGACTTCAAGCTCTGCATCAGGCTCTGTGCTGACAGCTCAGAGCCTGGAGCCTGATTCAGATTCTGTGTCTCCGTCTCTGCCCATCCCCTGTTCCCTCCCCAACCCCCTTTGTCTCTCTCTCTCTCAACTATAAATAAATATATATATTTTTTAATTTTAATGTGTCTACAGAAACCAGACTGGGGGCAGACGGAGAAAGACCCAGAGTTACCAAGCCAGTATACATACCAATCAATGCCATCTCATACAAGACAGCAAATCACAAGTCAGTGAAGCACTTAAATACCAAAGAAGAAATTCCCTTCCACTAACTCAGTAGAGTATATTAAATTTATCTAAGCCAAGATGCTGATTAATCAGGGTGAGGGGGAGACAATCAGTAAGTCATGACAACTGAAAAAGAACTCACCTCTCTCAACATACTGTTCTCTTTTTCCTTCTGCTCCAAAAGGCTTTCCAGGTGGTGGACGTGCATCTCTGCCTCTGCCAGTCGTCTTGTTCTCTCATGATCTTCTTCAGTAGCCTTAGCAGAAAGTCCTTTGCTCTGCAACATCTCCAGAAGTTTCTTGATGGATTCATCCCGAGCATTTAGGGTTTGCTTCTGAGTCTCAATACGAAGCTCCATTTCTTCCAAAGTCTTTCGAAGAAGGAACAGCTCTTTGGCCTGCCGCTCATGCTCAGCATGTAACCTCTGAAAGTTCTCCTCCGTCAGCTCTGCCACAAAAGGTTCACCAGTCCTACTGCTACTATCCTGCTGGAACAGCTGGTTCAGGTCCCTCTGGATCCGCAATTCATCCTGGAGAGCCTGGATTGTCATCTGCATGTGCTAGAACCAAGACAAAACAGAAAACCCCAAGTCAGCTTCCCTCCTCAAGTAGAAAAAGTAAAGCAGACTGGGGAAGTCAAAAAGTAGCTACCAGGGCTCTCAGAACCTTGAATTTAACAAATTAGAATTCATGTTATTTTACATTGTCTTAAAATATGATTGAGATAATCTGTAAAATGTCAGTAATTTAACTTGTATTTATTCCCAAAAGAAAACAAGGTAAGTATGGTAGAACCTCACTTTGCATAAGCCATGACAAAATAAAGGCATTGCTCAAAATTAACAAACTTATTCACAGAACTAAAGGGGAAGGGAGGAGAAAGGGAAATCTACAAACACATCATACAAAAGTTTGACCAAAAAATCCAAAGGTTATCAAAACACAAAATGACTTTTAAGTATTTAAATTCACACATTAAATAATACTAACATTTAGTGAGTAGTATCTATATGCCAGATTGTGCCATGCACTTTTTATGTGTTGATTCATTTAATCTTCATGATACGTGTACTATTATTTTTTTTACTATTATTATTGATGATGACACTAGTCTTAGAGATTTTTTCTAATGTTTATTTTTGAGAGAGAGACAGACAGAGCGTGCAAGCAAGTGGGGGAAGGGCAGAGAGAGAAGGAGACACAGAATCTGAAGCAGGCTCCTGGCTCCAAGCTGTCAGCACAGAGTCTGGAACAGGACTCAAACTTATGAACTGTGAGGTCATGACCTAAGCCAAAGTCAGTCAGGTCCACTAACCAACCAAGGCATCCAGGCATCCCTAGTCTTTCACAGATTTAAGAAACTTGCCCAAGATCACAAAGTAAATGATGGACCTGTCACTGAAATCAAAGTAATTCTCCCAGAGCACTGAAACTAGTACTACTCAAAGAAAATAACATAACTTAAAGCTTTCAGAAAGAGAGGAGGAGGGGGGCCTAGGTGGCTCAGTTGGTTAAGCTCTGACTTTACTTCTGCTCAGGTTGTGATCTCATAGTTTGAATTTGAGCCTAGTGTCAGGCTCAGCACTAAGAGCACACAGCCTGCTTGGGATTCTCTCTCTCTCCCTCTCTCTCTCTCTCTCTCTCTCTCTCTTTCTTTCTGTCCCTCCCCTGTTCACACACTCTCTCTCTCTCTCTTTCTGTCCCTCCCCTGTTCACACACTCTCTCTCTCTCTTTCTCTGAAAGTAAATAATTTTTTTTAAAAAACTTAATAAAAAGGGAGATAGGGGATACCTGACAAACACTATGTGAGCTTTTCATACAGAGAAGGATAACAACATAGGTGAGTAATTAAACAAAGATATTAATGCAGATAAATTACAAAATGATTGAGAGGGCATATCTTTAGCCTGTACCCCTAATGACGCTATATGAATTTTTAATCTGAATTGATAATTTCTAGCACATTATACAAAGACTCTAAAAGTATGTCACAAGATTCATATTTTTAGAAATGAAGAAACAACAACAACAAAAATCATCCTTTGTGTTAAAGGTTTAAAGACTGGTGGTGTGCCATAGTGCAAAGAACACTAACCCACAATCAGAAGACATGACTTTTAGTTCCACTCTCACACTAACTGCTATGCAATTTGGACACAATGCCACTTTCTGCATTTCAGATTCCTCAAATTCAAAATAAGGATTTATATACCTGCATACTTTTTTCACAGAGGTTTTAATAATATCGTGGAAATCTTTGTGGATTATAAAACATACATGGTTGAAAATTTCTGGCAGACTGCAACATAGCAGTAGAGTAAATATCTCAAGAAATGATCTGGTGATATAAAAGATATATGTACAAAGATACTCATTCTTGTTTATAATACTGACAAAATTTGAAACAACCTAAATAGATATTAATAGGTGATAAGTTACAGTAAATGAGAAATGTCCACACAATTTAATACTATGCATCCATAAAAAACTAACAATGTAGGGACGCTTGGGTGCATCAGTCAGTTAAGCATTTGACTTTGGCTCAGGTCATGATCTCACAGTTTGTGGTTCAAGCCCCACATCAGGCTCTGTGCTGACAGCTCAGAGCCTCAAGCCTGCTTCGAATTCTGTGCCTCACTCTCTCTCTGCCCCTCGCCTACTCGAGCTCTGTCCCTCAAAAATAAACAAACATTAAAAATAATAATAACAATGTAGATTGGTATTTACTGACTTAAATCTATTGTCACAATATATTGTTTTAAGTGTAAAAAAGCAGACCACACATACTAAGTATAGGATGATCTCAATTCTAATTTCTAAAAGTGCATATATACACGTAGAGAAAAGTCTAAAAGGATATAAACAATTACCAATGACTACCTCTGGGTATGGATAGCTTTTACATTTTTCATCACACTTTTTTGTACTAGCTAGCCATGTAATCCTTCTGTAATTAAAAAAAAAAACCTTTTTACCTAAAAATAAGAGAAACAGCATTCAGAGATGCCTGCTTGGGTACAGAATACCATATTCAATACTACCACTTTTGTTAAAAGAAAGGGAATAATATTTACTATCTACTGTAAGTAAAAAAATAAAATATTCTTAAGAAATAAAAATATTTCTGGAAAGTTACACAAGAAATAATTTTTTAAAAAGTAAAACTAGAATAGCTGAGGGACAACTTATAAGAACACACTTTACTAGAAATGCATTCTATTCCTCTTGAAATTTTTTTATTCCTCCTGAAATTTTTTTGAACTGAAGTAGAATTGACATTGAAATCTTTTTAGTAACAGCTTTACTGAAATATAACTCACATACAATAAAGTTCACCTGTTTTAAATTTACATCACATTGTAAAGATTCTTAACAGTTGTTGAACTTCAAAATCTTTAATTAAAAGATGTGGCAAAATGCTAATAATTCTCTAGAGCCTATTATCAATTCCAGTTTCCTTCTTTATATCTGAAAGTCAAAAAACCAGATAAAGCCTGAGTGAGGGTAGTATCAGAGGTTAAATTCAACAAATGAAACTGATTGCTAGGTACAACTGTTCCTCCTTTTTTGGACATTCATCACTAATTCATTCAGGTAAGGAGAAACAGGTATTGACTACCACACATATACTTTAGTGCTTATGATTATATCTGGCATGGCAATTATTTTGGTGAAGAAAGAAATTATAACTATTATTAATGTGTCTACTTCTTCAGTTCTGCTTGCACCCAGTTATCAATGAATAAAATGATGGTCTGACTGGTAGCCTATAAAGCTACACAGCTATTTTCTCCACTGAAATAAATCCCTACTTTAGGCTACGTTCAAGCTAGCTTTATTTATAAAAATTCTTGCCAAATTCCTTGGGAGGAGAAAGAAGCAACAGCCTAAGGAACGAGGCTACTTTTTCTCCAGCATATTCATACAGATGATAAAATGAGCAAACCTGTACATCCCCACAGACATTTATTTATAATGATCAAACAAAAACCAGATATACAAATTTAATGGGAAGACCTCAGGTGTAAGACATTAGAAGAAGTTCTATTTGGGAATTCTGCTCATGACACTCTCCAAAATGATCTCACACTTCTGATATTCCAAATGTTATACCAACACTCACTAGTCTACCACTTTTCACTCTGACATTCAGTTATTCTGGAAAGACTGGAAAAGTAACTGCTTAAAAACTTTAATTGTTTTTTTTTATGTTTATTTTTGAGAGAGAGAGAGAGTGCACACACGAACCCAAGCAGGGAAGGGGCAGAGAGAGAGGGAGACACAGAATGTGAAGCAGCTCCAGGCACTGAGCTGTCAGCATAGATCCCAACGCAGGGCCTGAACCCACAAACCATGAGATCATGACCTGAGCTGAAGTCAGACGCTCAACTGACTGAACCACCCAGGTGCCCCAGTAACTGCTTAAAATTTAATCCAAGGATTATGCTATTATTACACCATGCTATACCTCAATGAAATGGTATTGTGAACAACAGGAATGAAAATTCTTAAATCTTCAACAGAGACTATGACTTCTATTAAAAAAATAATACATCCATCTGAAAAAAATGACCAAAAAAATCACCACAGCCTTTCATATACCATATTTTAGATAAATATCAGAAGCTCCTCTAAGGCAGAACATTCCAAAAATAATCATTAGTTTCTTGGAATAACAGAATGCTTTGATCAGTTTATCCTGATTTCTAAAAAGACAGAATTTTGTAGTCTAGAGCTTTTTTTAGTTAGAAAAAAAGAATTCAGTCCCCTCTTTAGGGGAATATGTTCCAAGACTCCCAATGGATGCCTAAAACTGTGCATAGTACCAAATCTTATATATACTATGTTTTTTCCTATACATACATACCTACGGTAAAATTTATAGATTAGCCATAGTAAGAGATTAACAACAAAGCTAAAATATTGTAACAGTATACTGTAATAAAAGTTTATGTGAATGTGGTTTCCCTCTCTCAAAATAATCTCATGTTCTGTACTCAACCTTCTTCTGATGATGATGTGACATGGTAAAATGCCTACATGACAAACTAACGTGAGATGAGTGAGGTAGGCATCATGAGGCGGTGTTAGGCTACAAGTGACCTTCTAACAGTAAGTCAGAAGAGAAAATGAGGTCTGCTTCCAGACCACAGGTAACCACCAGTAACTGAAACCGCAGAAAACAACACCATGCAGAAGAGAGACTACTGTATTATGGACAAAAAATGATCATTATTTCAAACAATATCTCATGGAGCACTGCATGAACTATTTGTCAAGATGACCAGTTAGAAAAAATACTAATTTAGGGGTGCCTGGGTGGCTCACACAGTTAAGTTTCTGACTTCGGCTCAGGTCATGATCACATGGTTCGTGAGTACTGGCCCCACATCGGGCTCTCTGCTGACAGTACAGAGCCTGCTTTGGATCCTATCTGCCTCTCTCTGCCCCTCCCCTCCCCAAAATAAACATTTTTTTAAAAAGGAAAAAAATACCAGTATTGCACCCTATTATGTTAAATCAAGAACAATTTCTTCTGAAATATGTAAATGTATATAT